CTTGATACAAGGATGTTGACCATGAATCTTTAAGGCAAGGAAGAACCGACTTGATACAAGGTCTTGAAAGGTGTCTTTCACAAACTAGTACATTCTCTGAAGAAGTAAAGTATAATTTCTCCACTTGCAGGGAAAAAAACTAAAGTCAACATTGGGTCAGCAGCTTGCAGGACTGTTACGTGATTGGGTCAGCAGCTTGCAGGACTGATACGTGATTGGGTCAGCAGCTTGGAGGACTGATACGTGATTGGATCAGCAGCTTGCAGGACTGTTACGTGATTGGGTCAGCAGATTGCAGTACTGTTACGTGATTGGGTCAGCAGCTTGCAGGACTGTTTATGAATGAAGCAGTAATGTTTGTTCATAAACGAAACGCGATTTCGGGTAAGTTAAAGTTTTCTTTTCGCAAATTGAGAAACATTATTACACATTTTTGCCATATTTTGTAGGGAATTATCAAGTAGAATTTTTCATTCTGTTAATTTTCCTTAAGTAAGTATATAAACCGAAATCACATTGACTACCTTACTTTTTCTATTAAAACAATGTATTTCCAGTAAAAGAAGAACAAGTCAGAAAATTAAATAGAGATAATGTATGTAATAAGAATAAACATGTAAAATTACTTTCCAACATGTTACAATTAAAAAGTTTTAATTCAATGTAATGTTCAAAGTAAACATGTAAAATTACTTTCCATCCTATTACCGCTAAAACCTTTCAGTTCGTATAACATTCATACACATTACAACTAAAATGCTTTTAATTAGTATAATGTTCAAACTAATCATGTAAAAATACATTTCGACATGTTATTACTGAAAAAGCTTCAACTTGTATAGTATCAACCAGAAACTATTTCTGAGACGTAAATTCTTGAAGTTCTATCTCATTATACTTCTACATCATATTATATGTGTAGGCCGTAATCCCGTATAATTGTATATTTTTTATACATGTTCGTTACTCCAGTTTGTTATAAGAAATATTGACCATGAATCTTTAAGGCAAGGAAGAACCGACTCGATACAAGGATGTTGACAATGAATCTTTAAGGCAAGGAAGAACCGACTTGATACAAGGATGTTGACCATGAATCTTTAAGGCAAGGAAGAACCGACTTGATACAAGGTCTTGAAAGGTGTCTTTCACAAACTAGTACATTCTCTGAAGAACTAAAGTATAATTTCTCCACTTGCAGGAAAAAAAACTAAAGTCAACATTTTAAAAAATAACAAACTCTTTTTGCTGGATACAAGAAACATATTTATTTAAAAAAACATTAGAAAGATTAGTACAACAAGTTTGATACACCACTATTAATTTTATGAAACCAACTAATTGGTTCATAAATATGTTTAGTAACATCCTTGTATCGAGTCGGTTCTTCCTTGCCTTAAATATTCATGGTCAACATCCTTGTGTCAAGTCAGTTCTTCCTTGCCTTAAATATTCATGGTCAATATCCTTGTATTAAGTCGGTTCTTCCTTGCCTTAAAGATTCATTGTCAACGTTGTTAGTCATTGAATTATAATCTTCCCTCTTGCATATATACGAGTTAATATGAATGTTATTAATTTTTTCTCCAACAGTCCAGTTGATAAACGATATTGAAGCTTGTCTATAATACAATATAAGCGTTTCAATGTGCATCAATCCAATAAAGAGAGAGTGGTTTTAAGCTATATATATTATGAGGCTCGCGGTATCTGAAACCAAGTGCTATAATATATGTATATAACATAGTTTTATTACTGTGACAAATTGTCTGTATTCAAACTAAAGATGGGTGTCCACAGTACCATGCTCTCACCATTAACGCAGTTATTAAGACGTCCATCAACAACATGTTTGTCTCTGTGAACAATAACTCTGAATTTCATTTTATGAATTTAATTTCCATTTTGTAAATGTCAACTCTGACGTTTGTTTATGACACTAAAGCTCGGATGTACATAATATCATCGGATAACCCATACAATTAACAGAATAAACCAGTCTTAACTGTCTAGCTGTGTACGTGTATAGATTTAGCCGAGGTCAGGCAGTTATATGTGTTTAACGTAGATGCGTTCAATCTATTGAAAACGACGTAAGCTCGTGTACAACAATTAGAGCACCAACGGCATAAGGACAGAACTCGTAATCGCTGAAAAGTAATAAAAAACATTTTGTAAAAGTAAAATGATGTAGGGATGTCAATGCCAAAAAGAATGCAAACAAGAATATAGGGATGATATAGCTATACATGGATCATTTCTACATTACTTTCCATATTGAAATTTAATATTACACTGTAAAATGCACGAGTATAATATGGTTAGGCGGTCGGTCAATTTGACCGATCTTGCAGCGAGAGTCTGTAATAATCAAGACGTGTTTTGAATCAACTTGGTTTTCCTTATACGTAAGTCCTAGGCTCTTAGTTACATTACATTGATCCCTACCCTGACATGACCATGATATTATGATAAACAAACGATATACCAACAGTCAGAAATATATAACTTACAGTTGTAGTAATATTAAGTCAAGTAGGCATTTTACAGTGTAACATTAAATTTTAATACTGAAAATCATCTAGGGATGATCTTTGTATAACTGTATCATCTATATATATTCTTGTTTACATTCTTTTTGGCACTGCTATCCCTACATCATTTTACATTTACAAAAGTTATTTATTACTTGTTTTGTGGAGTTTTTCCCCCTGATTAAAAGTTAGTGTATTCTATAAATGTATGTAATAAAATATAATAGTATGTGTATTGAGTTTTTCTACTCCATTTCATACATAATATAAGGGTTGGCTCCCTAAAGACACCGACTGTATTGAGTTCAAAGCATTGAGTATTCAATATGTTGCTGTCACCAAATATTCATTTCTTTTTGGCTGGCAATTCCTGTTTTACCCTGTACTTAAGCTTTTTAAAGGAACACCAGATTCTGTGAAAAAGCTGACTTTAAGGGGTAATGATAACATCGTTTACGTTAGAATTATGATATTTTTGTTTTTTATTACTACTAGTTATTATTACATCTAAGTGATGACATCCTGCACATAGAGTACGTTTAGGTTTAAACTGATGTTAGTGATAAAGTAGCTGTAAAGTTATCTCGACTGAAACAAGAAGAAAGATGAACAATTTGGTGGGTTGGTAACTTCCTGGTTTGGTATCTCAGCGATGGTTTCTTACCTTGTGTTTGAGCTTGGTGGGTAAAGAAACAAATTAAAGCGAGTGCAATAGTCTTTTAAAGTAAAACTCTCAGTGACTGTTGATTGTTTTTAGCGTGAATATTTGTATTATGCCAATTGAGTACCTTGGCTATCCCTACCGCCTGGCATGGCCAGGTGGTTAGGGCACTCGACCCGCAATTTGCGGGTTCGAATCCCCGTCACACCAAATATGCTCGCCCTTTCAGCCGTGGGGGGCGTTATAATGTGACGGTCAATCCCACTATTCGTTGGTAAAAGAGTAGCCCAAGAGTTGGCGGTGGGTGGTGATGACTAGCTGCCTTCCCTCTAGCCTTACACTGCAAAATTAGGGACGGCTAGCGGTGATAGTCATCGTGTAGCTTTGGGCGAAATTCAAAAACAAACTAATATTAAACGGTATGTGCATAAAACATGTCATTTGTAAAATTACGTTTCGTAAACTAAAATACTACAATGTTTTTATTATTCTGTAGCCGTTGAATTACACCAGTAATACAAATAAAACATAGTAAAATATTATATTTATACTAAGACCGGAGACAAAAGTTGAACTTACATAAGATAGTGACTTTTCTGGTTTAGTCAAAGGAACCAGTTCTCTTCTCGATCGCTTGTGAAATGTTACACTTTGGTCGTACATATTCAGAACGGATTTATTTGGTTCAGGATACGTTAAATGAGCCGAAGAACAATCAAAGTAAGAGGCAGGACTACGAAATGAATGGGAATCCAAATTATCTGAGCTTGGATTAGCATTTTCGCCGTTAATCAATATTTCCTGGTCAGGCTGAGAAAGGGTGGGAGAAATATTGGAAACTTTGTTTTCATCGCTCCGTGTTAAGAGATGATCCGGATGTTTCTGGATAATTGGATTATCTTGATGGGACAACTGAAGTGCCACCATATCCTCTGCTAGAGTTTTCTCTTGATCAGAGGTCGTACTTGGTTGTGGGATGACAAGTATTGGTGGTGTTAAAGGGCGAGAGTTTCGACTTTCCTCCTCTGTTAAGTTTTCCGGCAATGAAGCACGTTTTTCAAAAATCATGTCACTATCACTTAATTCCACAGTTTCGTCACTGGCATCGGTTATCCCTATTTCCGGCTCTTTCGTTTTTTTCCTATTAAGAGTAAAAATAACGGGCTAAATAATCGAATAAACACAAACCATTGTTGCTCTATGTGGAAACTTTATAATAATTAAAGGAAATCCTTTTGTGTTTTTGTCTTCTTGGTCATTAGTTTGTGTATAATCAATGTCTATAGATTTACACGTGTTTATCACATGGTCAACTTCAGTCTATAACTGATCTACTGGAAAGGAGTATGTTTAAAAAGTATTGTAATCTCAATTCTATTAATTGTAAACGTATATTTAAGAAACGTGGACTTTATAATACTACTAAAAAGGAGTATGTTTAAAATGTATTGTAATCTCAATTTTATTAATTGTAAACGTATATTTAAGAAATGTGGACTTTATAATACTACTAAAAAGGAGTATGTTTAAAAAGTATTGTAATCTCAATTTTATTAATTGTAAACGTATATTTAAGAAATGTGGACTTTATAATACTACTAAAAAGGAGTATGTTTAAAAAGTATTGTAATCTCAATTTTATTAATTGTAAACGTATATTTAAGAAACGTGGACTTTATAATACCTATTTAGAGCTATTTTGCTTATCATCTCTGGGTATTACTGTTTAAACTGAAATTATTTCCTAAATTAAAACTTTCAATTTCTCTTTAAAGTTAATCTACGTTCTTGATATAGTAATATATTGAACAGCGGCATACCGAAATATGCTCGAAAAAAAATTAATAGGCTTTCTTCGAGTTGCAGATCCTGCCCTCTGATGGTGAATGCTCTTTACCAAAATGTAACATCTTTCCAAGTGTTCTGCTAAGACATAGAAAAATAATTGTATAATAGATGTTTTTTTTTCTCTGAAACTGAATTATGTATTATGCTTAACTGACCAAGATATAACTGAGCCTAACTAGAATCAAATATTAAAATAAGACTTAACACTTCTTAACAAAATTACTTTGCGTTAATGTTGTATTACTATATTGAACAACTGTATACCGAAATATGCTCGGAATAACGTCAAAGGGTTTCTTTCCATAAATCTATAATACAACCGAATAAGATCACAATTGATTGTAATCTGCTCATGCAACTATGTTTTTACTAGAGCAGTCAATATGTACTATGTATATACGAGCAAACTCATACACACATCTATTGATCTAAAACTAAAACTAAACACACACATACACGTGCGTTGTATTATACAAGCACAATATAAAACCAAATATCTATATAAGTATTTCTAATATTGATGTATTAAAGCGTTTTTAGCATTCTGTTAATAAGGAGGTATCTTATAATTGATGTGTAAGGGAAACAGTATTCTACTGTTAACAATACCTGATTTAAAAGGATTTCCAAACAATTACTGTGTTTCCATGAATAATGTCGGCAATACACTCTTATATAATCAGTTACTGGAGTCACAATTCTCGCTTTCACTTCTAAACACACGTGTATTAATCCCCCATAGTTCAAAGTTTCGCCTGTGTTTTACCACGCCAAACTAGTTGTCATAACAATCCAGTTTCTGTTCACTCAACCAGCTTGGGTAACTTGAACGTCCGTGAGGACAGCTACCGCCATCTACCGATAGCTAAGTGGTACTATCTTTCATCAACTACATGAAATTATTGATTTCTGCGCGAATCGCCAACTGTTTAGAAAACCTTTGTTCGAACGATTTAAGACAGTTTAACGGAAACGTAAATAACGTTCACGACTACATAGAGAGTACGTATTTATAGCTTCCGACCATCTTTAGATTAACGAGACAGGATAATAAACTCGAACTAGTTTTAATATTTATTTATTTTTGTTATAAAGGTGAAAGTTGGTCTAAACTCATCATTCTCAAATTCACATAAGATACTCTACCAACCAAGCAGTTTTGGAAGGTTAGGTATCATGGACTCTAGGATGTAAGCAGGACAGGGTACAATGTTCCAAAGACAAATACGCATCTGTGAACATTTCCCAAACGATTTGTGATTTTATACGGACTTACAACGCTAGAATCCGGGTTTCGATACCCGTGGTGGGCAGAGCACAGATAGCCCAACGTGTAGCTTTGTGCTTAACTTCAAACAAACAGACATGATTTTATATTCTCCTGAAACAAGTGACCATCTCAAACTTTCCTCACATGCATACAAAATTAGGTAAACAGTATAAAATTTCAAAGAAATGTCAGTTTTTTTTCTATCTTGCAATCAGTGAGTGAAGAATAAAACCTGTTGCGTTGTTATTAGTAAACTATACAGATAAATTTGAATTCTGTGACTTAAAAGTTTCTTATCGTCCCTAATCTGAACAACTTCCTGGTAGTTAGCCAGCATGCAGCACCTGCCACCACGAGGACTTTATCTATCTCCATGATCAGAATATCGGGATCCATTAATAGTATGGATACTGTTCAGTGGAATGGACGCGAAGCGTGAGTCTTACGATATATATATAGTCAGATACGCTAACTACTAGTCCATGCCTGGTGGAACATAAACAGTCCCCTGGAATTTGACTTCCCAGATATGATTGTACATATAATTTACACTCATGTACTTTGGTTTTAGAGAACAGCATAACATTCAACCTATATAAAAGCCAGTGTGTGTCGCGTCACGTCACGCTTGATTTCTCGAAATAGGAGGAGTCATTTTGATTGGCTCACAAAGGAATTTACCGACGTTTGATTACCTCGACTGCACTTTTCTGCCCCTTTTTTTTTGATCAAGCTTGATTTCGCAAAGTTTATTTATTTCATTAAGCTACGAAATGTGAGGTTAGGGTATACTATGGGGGGTGGGGTTGGAGGTGGTAGTACCTGCCCCGTCATCTTTGACGAGCTATACATACATAATCCAAATCCACTTAGGTAATTACCATTCTTCTTCGGCCCGGCATGGCCACCAGGTGGTTAGGGGGCGCTAGACTCGCAATCTGCGGGTCGCGGGTTCGAACTCCCCGTCGCACCAAACATGCTCGTCCTTTCAGCCGTGGGGGCGTTATAATGTGACGGTCAATCCCACTATTCGTTGATAAAAGAGTAGCCCAAGATTTGGCGGTGGATGATGGTGATGACTAGCTGCCTTCCTGCCCCCCAGTGGTACAGCGGTATGTCTGCGGACTTACAACGCTAGAATCTGGGTTTCGATACCCGTGGTGGGCAGAGCACAGATAGCCCATTGTGTAGCTTTGTGCTTAATTACAAACAAACAAACAAAAGCTGCCTTCCCTCTAGTCTTACATTGCTAAATTAGGGACGACTAGCGTAGATAGCCCTCGTGTAGCTTTGCGCGAAATTCAAAAAACAAACAAACAAACCATTCTTCTTTCCTAGTGTACACGAATTAATATTATCAAACACTTTCATCCTCTGATATTAAGTGAGAACTGAGTAGGCTATACTTATAATAAAATGATAATAAAGTCAGTAAAAAAATGAATAAACTCATGATTTTGATCATCTCTAGGAAGACACTGGGGGGCCCAATTCTGGTACCACTACATTAAAGCTAGGGTCTCGATTTCCGGTATCAGTATATTAAATGAAGCAGTCTGACTTCTGGTACCAGTACATGAAATCTGTGAACCCCGTTTCTGGTATCAGATATTAAATTTGTGGCTTGATTGCTGGTACCAGTAGTTAGGCTGGCCATCTGGAGGAGGAAATAAACATGTACCACCCGAGGGCACGATCCAGTTTCGACAAGGTTATATAATTATTGAAAGTAATGGGAGGTTCTCACGCCGTGATGCCTAAACATGCACAGCCCAACGGAATGAATCAAGCATATATAATTGAAGATTTTCGAAATGACTTCCTACGACATGGCCTTATCAGTATCCTGTTAGAGACATATAAAAAAAAAGGAACATGGTACAATAATGGATGGTAATTATAGGCGTGGTTGTATGAAACAACCATATCAAATTGTAGAGTAAAAAAAAGAACAGTTGTGTAAGTTTGACCTAAAAATGAAAAATGCTAAGTATCTTATTGTTTGTTTGTTTGAAGTTAAGCACAAAGCAATACAATGGGCTATCTATGCTCTGCCCATTACGAGTATCGAAACCCGGATTCTAGCGTTGTAAGTCCGCAGACATACCGCTGTGCCACTGGGGTGGGTGGGTGGGGGGCACGTATTTTATAAAGTATACCTTTAGACCAGTGCTTCCTAAACTATGTGCCACTGAATGTTTTCGGGTGTGCCGCGTAATTTGTGTAATTATTGAGTACTTTTTAATTAGTAATGTAAATTTATTATCAATTTGATAATTTTTTTTAATTTCAAATTTGACTTATTTTCTCCTTGATACAGAGTATAACAATAAATACTGCCTGTCGTAGTCACGGGGGTGCCACTAGGCCTGCCATACGGACTTATTTACATGTGCTGCAAAAATATTAGGACATGAAAAGTGTACCGCGAGCTGATAGCGTTTGGAGAACACTGCTTTAGGCAATTAAATGTGCTATAAAAACCGTTCAAAATCTACTCACATTCAATCCATCTACTGAAAGAGAAAGAGTAAACATCATAAACACCAGCTAGAGTTTCTAAAGGATGAAACGTCTGTTCAACAATAGTGAACTGGGGTAAGTGTACTTCTAGCCAGAGTTCCTAAAGGATGAAACGTCTGTTCAACAATAATGAAGCTGGGGTAAGTGTACTTCTAGCCAGAGTTCCTAAAGGATGAAACATCTGTTTAACAATAGTGAACTGGGGGAAGTGTACTTCTAGCCATAGTTCCTAAAGGATGAAACATCTGTTCAACAATAGTGAAGCTGGGGTAAGTATATTTCTAGCCAGAGTTCCTAAAGGATGAAACATCTGTTCAACAATAGTGAAGCTGGGGTAAGTATATTTCTAGCCAGAGTTCCTAAAAGATGAAACGTCTGTTCAACAATAGTGAAGCTGGGGTAAGTATATTTCTAGCCAGAGTTCCTAAAAGATGAAACGT